TCCCATCCCCATGCCTGGACATTGCCAGGGATCCAGGGGCAGCCCCAGCTTCTCTGGGCACCCTGTGCCAGGGCCTGCCCACCCTCACAGGAAGAATTCCTTCCCAATACCTCATCTAACTCTGCCTAGGAAGAATGCAGAACGTTTATTCTAATCTAGAGAATTCCAGTGCTTTAGGGCACAAAATCCAGGAGCACGAGCACCAGGGTCTCCTACATCTGAACAATGGTTGCTCTGAGTGAGTCCTTCCTGCCAAAAACTCTGGAATTTGGGCATCTGCTTCCTCCCTGGGCTCACCAGGGGCTGTTTTCCCTTGAGAATGTCCCCAGGGCACTCAGGATGGAGCCAAGGGCAGCTCCCCTAGGGATTTCCTGACTGCTGGGCTGGGCCATGACATTCCAGGCCCCGGTGAGCCCCAGCTCCATGGGCAGGACCAGGACCCACCCCCACTTACAGCTGCTGGTCTCGGTTCCGGTAAATCTTCCCATCCTGCTTGATCAGGTACTGGTCAATCTCATCTTCCACCACCTGGGGGGCACCCCCAGGCCGGGAATTTTGGGAGACAGAGGTGTCCATGGTCTCTGAGGAAGAGCCAGCTGGGCTGGAGGGATACAGGAACAGCATATCCCCATGCCTGCAGGGTGGGAAACGCACATGGCTAGTGGGAGCTGTGGGAGACAACAGCCAGGAAGCTGGAGGGGCTTCCCAGCAGGCAGCAGCTTCCATGGAAGGGCATGGAATGTGGCACAAATTCTAACCAGGCCTGCACAGGTGGCACTTGGAAGCTGCTCTGTGAGCCACCTCTTCCTGCTTTTATTTGCAACAAATGCAAATCCTTCCAGCAGGAGACAAAGCTGAGGGAAAAATATGGAGGAGGGAGTTGGGATGAAGGAGTAAAACAAGGATGTGGGAGAGAAAGCTGGGATGAGGGAGGGAAAGGAGGGTGAGGGAGGGAAAGCAGGCATGTAAAGGTGAAAACAGGGATAGAGGAGGGCAATGGGGGGATAAGGCAGGGAAAGCTGGGACAAAGGTGAAAGCAGGGATCAGGGAGGGAAAACTGGGATGAAGCCTCCTCACAGCAAACACACCCCAAGAAGTGACCCAAGGAACAGCCACCACCTGTCCCGTGTCACTGTGACCCCCATTCCAGCACGGCCACCAAGCCCTCCCCGCAAGTGACACTGGAGTGACACTGGAAGCTGGGCACTCCTGGGATGTGATTTCCCCATTCTGGAAGCCCCAGGCAGAGCCCCTCTGGTGAGGACTCACTTGATCTTGAGCAGGTTGAGGGATTTGTTCTGCGCCGCCGTGATCTCGCCGGTCCTGTTGCGGTTGGTGTACACGGAGAAGCCGTTATTCCTGAAGCCAAACTCCTTGGCCACCTGCAGGGAACAGGGACAGGGTGTGAGGTGTGAGCCTCCTGGAAGGGGCTCAGAGCCACAGCTGACCCCAGAGAACTTCTCCTCCAGAAACTCAGCTCAATTCCCCCCCATTCCTGAGCTCGGGATAACAAGAGATGGAAACACCTGGAAAAACGAGCAATGGATTAAACCAGGAGCTGAAACAGCTCCACCAGAACTGTCTCTGCCTCACACAACACCAAATGCAGAGTTCCAGCCACAGCCAGGCAAGCACTGTATGACTCTGGGGGAAACTTCTCCACTATCCCAGTTTTCTTGCTCCAGCTGCACCAGCACACACCACCAAGTCATTCCCATCTTCCTGCCACCAGAATTCCACTATCCACACCCCCACCTCTGTGCATCTTCTGCCTCAGCTCCATTCCCACCTCCCAGCTGCTCCACTCAACCTCTTCCTGCTGTTCTGTTTGCTTTTCCCCCTTTTCTCCTCTCTCCCATGGAATTCCCACCCCTCAGTCCCCAGGCAGGTTCTCCCAGCTCAGATTAAGTCTGGTTTACTTGGAATCACTCCAACACCTCTTCCCAGCCAAAATAATTTGCACATTTGGCCCCTTGAGAACTTCATCAGTTTCAAAGTGGTGTTTAAAGTTTGTCTACTTGCCAGGTTTTGCCCTAAATTCTGAAGTGAAAGGCCTTTATTTTTATTGATAAAAACAATCCCCATGGCTTTGGTCAGAGCCAGGGATGGGATCCTGCCCACAGGACAAATCTGATGAGCCACAAAGGGCTGTCACATGAGCACAGCCATGAAAAGCAGTTTTTTTCCTGTCAGCTCAGCTGTGATTTGCAGCACTCAGTGATCCCTTTGAATGGGACCCTTTCACACGGACCAGCTCCTGCTCCTCAGGCCACAGAATTCCATTTTTGGGGGCAGACAAATCCCACAACACATTAACAGCAGGTTTGAGCTGACTCCTGATCCTGGGCACAGCCAGAGTGACTTTTTTGGTGCTTTTCCCTGGGATGTGCCACAGGAGACAGGGAAGATTCTCCAGCCCTTTATTCCCTGAGCACTCCTGGAGCAGATCCAGGTTAATTCCTGGCATGGAAGCAGCAATCTGACACCTCTCTAATTACAGCTGCCCCCCTAAACACCAAACCCAGCCCCTGGGTGAACATTCCAGCACTAAAATCCACAGCACAGGTAGGAGAGACCTGGATTTAGATAAAACACAGACCTCAGGTGGGAAAATTTGCCACTTTCCTCTTCCAAGCAGACTCTGCAGCAGGAAATAAACCCAAACACATCCCTGCTGCAGCTCAGCCAGAGCACAGAGCCTTCCCCAGATGAACAGGCAACTCCAGGTGCTTTGTCCTGGCAGGAAGTGTTTTCCAACCTGAGTAACCCGAGCCCTGGAAAGCAGCAGCTCGTTCTGCACAGGCTCCAGAGCTCCTGCAAGCTCCTCTTGCCTTGGCTGGGGCTGCAGGGAGTGTCCCTGAGGCAGCCCTGGAAAACAGCAGGATTTTCCTGGCCAGGTGGGAACGCTGTCAGGGAATGCTGTCCTGTCTGGGCCACAGCTCCAGCCCAAGCTGTGACTCACAAAGGGCAGGTTCCCACTGCTGCCATTCCCTTCCCTTCAGGAATACACTCATGGAGCAAAGAACCCCCAGAGGAACTCCAGGAGGGGAGCAAAGGGAGAGCTGCTCCCTCCTGAAGAGCACAGAGCAGCCCCATCCCAGCAGGGCCAGCCCCATCCCCAGAGCGTGCTCCCCTCCCCAGGGCTCCTGGGATCTCACTCCATCCCTGCCCTGCTCTCTCCAAATCCACACTGCAGAACCAGGAGCACACACAGCCCACCCAAACGATATTCCAAACCCAAATCCAGCAGCTGAGCCAGCCTGGAACCCTCCTGGAGCAGCAGGGTTGACCATCCCACAGCTCCCCTTCTGCTTCCCAGCTGCCACTTCTTTGGGAGAGGCCCAAAAAGTCCTTCCCAGGAAAAGTCCCACCCTAGGAAGCCCCAACAGAGAAGCTGAGGCAGTTTTTTCTTTAAATTTGTCATTTTCCCTCTGGAACAACACAAGCTACACCAATCCAAGTGTGTTTTTCCACGTGGAATGCTGTTCCTCGCTGCTGCCAGGGGGTTAAACAGGGATCTCCCACAGGACAGAGCCAGGGGAGCCCTGCCCCACCCCCTGGGCACCCTGGGGTACCTTTTTGAGGAACGTCCCCACGGTTTCTCTCTTCGTGGCCGTGATTCTCTTCACTCCCTCCGGCGACTGCACACGGATAATCTGGGAATGAGGGAGCACGGGGTCAGGGAGGGGAGACAGAGCCCACCCTGAGCCCCCAGACTGATGTCCCCCCCCTCGTGTTTCCCTCCTCCACAGGGCCTGGAAACACCAGGGGAGCAGTGCTGGGGCAGCACTGGGAGATGTCTGTGAGCACAGGGGGAATCACTGCAATGCTCCGGGCTCTTGGCACCAGCTGGCTCCATGGAAAACACCTTTGGTCAAAGCTCTGACCTCGGAGATGGAATTACACCTTCGGGAGGGCGCACCAGACCTTCCAAGGGGAGTTATTCACACAGGCACCGGCCCAGCCGGTGTTACCGGGCACCGCACTGGTGTGGCAGAGCCCCGGGAACGAGGGAGGGGAGAGACTCCAGCGGCGCCCGGGACACCGGAGCTCCTGCTCGGGGGGAACGGGGAGAGGAATCCTCGGGGACAAGCAGGGCAGGGACAAATGCAAACCTCGGTGTCCCCGGAGCGCTGAGGGGCAGCGGGGACTCGAGCGGGTCTAAAGGGGACGCTCAACCGCGGCTGTGTGACACGGGGACAGCGAGAGCGGGGAGGGGACACGGGCAAGGAGGGGACACGGCGAGCTGCCCGTGTCCCGCCGTCACCCCTTCCCACTCTCCCGACTTCCCTCCGGGGCACAGCCCGCCGGGACGGCGCCGGGAGCCGTTCACCGGAGCGGGGAGCCCTTCACCGGAGCGAGCAGCCCCCGGGCCCCCCGCCCCGACCCCGCGGGGAAAACCTCGGGGAGCTGCCCGGCCCGCACACCGCCGGCCCCCCCGTCCCGGAGCCCCGTCCCGGCCCCACAGGAATCTGCTGCCTCATCGCCCCTCCCCCGGCCGCACTCACAATCGTCTCGGCCATGGCGCTGCCCGCGGGCCCGGGGCTCGCCGCGCCGCACAAACACGGCCCGGTGCGGCCCGTCTCGCTCCGCTTCTCCCGGCCCTGCCCGGCCCGGCCCGGCCCTGCCCGGCTCCTCCCGGCCCGGCCCGGCCCGCCGCC